CTTTGGCACTCATCTACCCATACATTTAAAAAGAGGAAATCCACATGCCCGCTCCCTCAAAAAAAAACCCACCACATAAATGTATCTGTGTATATTTGGAATAACCCAAAAAAAACTCTGCTGCTGCTGACTGATATGCTTAAATGCAAAACAATTGAAATGCGTCACTCTCGCATTCTGCTCCCCTTTAAGCTTCTACTGCTCTGTGTTGTCGTTTCTTTAATGTAATTAATGTTATCAATGTTTAACCGAACGCACCCATGAAAAGCCCACTACTTGCATTATTTCCCTGGCGGCATAGGCAGCAAACAACAGATTTCTCGCCCGGCTATCCAACCACCCTTCTTGCCCAGCTCTAACACCGTGGTCATGCCCGTACCATCCCTTCCGGCTCTGCTTGCTGCGCTCTCTCAACCACCGAGGCACCCCAACTACCCACCCACCTACCCAAACACCCACCCTTCCTATACACCCACCACTTCCAACGTTTGTAAAAAGAAACCAAATGGGAAAATCCATAATTTGATGTATTTTTTTCGTTTTGCTAATTCGTTGTGCCTTCGACGTATCTGCTCTTCTTTTTTCCCACAAACACACACCAAACAAAAAAAAAAACACTCATGAACTGTACAAAAATGCAAATCGAATTCAAACCGCTCCACGCTCCTCCTTCTCTTCATGCGCTGCGCTCGCTGTGGAAAACAATCTGCTATCAAATCGATATCAAACCAAAATCTCCATTCATCCGCATATACATATGTATGTACAAAACGAAAAAAAAATTGAACAAAAAAAAACGCCGAGCAGACGCTTAAAGATGTTTGCCAAGCAGCTGCCCACAATGGCCATTCAGAAACTAACCCACAATCAGAAATCCGAAGTGGCAGCCACATCCTCCTCAGCAGCAGCATCGACATCATGGCCAACTGAAATTCTGGGACGAAATTCTACTTGCATTAATTCATTGCACAATGAAACATAATTTTCGCCACTCGAGAAATTGAATTCAAACTGATTGTAAGAGAACTTCTAAGTGCTGGGAAAAGCAACGAAACTCAAGTCCTCTTAAAATGCACACAACTTAAATTTTCTAAAATATTAAAAACGTTGACCTGGCGCCTAGAAGTTCCCATTTATCTCTTTTCAATGTTACCAAGTCATTTTTAAAACTAATTCTTATTACTTATGCGTATAATAAAAACCAATTGGAATATAATTTGACTTTATTTTAGTTTTATATTGATTTGTAAGAGTGCCAAAGCCATTTAGAATGTTGTAGTCGTAGTATATCATATTTAGTAGCAGAGTAGTTTGTATACCTAGACATTCTGTAATCAATAAGTAACTCCCTTCAACTCACTTCTTTGCTGACCAAACACTAATCATAAACATTTCTGCTCTGCTCCCAAAAAAAAAAACCTTTACATTCAAAAACAAATAGGTAATGGTACTGAACGTGTCCTCATTGCTGAAGACTGTGAAGGCTGTGGAGGATGAGCACACGCGTGGAACTCGCGCCATGGAGGCCACTGTGGAAGCAATCTCCCAGGAGATTCGGGTAGGTTTCTTTAAGATGTTGTAATGAAAAAATATATTTACTCTTTTATTTTCTTTTTTGGCAGGCCATGCACACTACCCCACCAGTGGGTAATACTCAGGTGGGCCCCGAGGAGCTGATCCGAGTGACCATGAATGTGACGGCGGCCACTGCCAAGGCGGTTGCTGCCGGAACCTCCAATCTGCAGGCCGACATTGTGTCTGCAGCCAATCTCGGTCGCCGTGCCATCTCTGACATGCTGATTGTTTGTCGCTCTGTGGCCTGGAATTGTGCCGAAACGGAGGAGCTGAGATCGCGCACTCTGGAGGCGGGCACGGCAGTGGGCGAGTCCTACCGCGACCTACTCAGTGGCATCCTGCACAACTGCAGTGCCGACGATCGCATGCATTTGTCGCGTCGCGTTGCTAAGTGCGTGACTGATCTGGTGGCAATGGCCAGGCTGCTCAAGGGCTCAGATTGGATCGATCCTGAGGATCCAACGGTCATTGCAGAGAATGAATTGCTGGGCGCCGCTGCTTCTATCGATGCGGCAGCTAAGAAATTGGCTTCTCTGCGTCCACGTCGCCAGGCAGATGTCACGGTAAGTTTCATTTTAATATCTCTTACACTTTGTTCTAAGTGGTGAATGAAAACTAACGATAGTGACATAATCGAAACTCATCTTAATATATAAGCGGTGCTTGTTTTTCCCTAACTAGTCCTTCAAAACAAACTAATTGATGGTTCCAGTGAGATATGTTTGATATTCTTGGTTGTTTCATTCAAAAGTTCACCCAGGAATCAAACATATTATTACTGTGACCCTCGCCAATCTACTAAAACACTCAGCTTGAGACCTCGACTAAAACCGCCTGGTGATTGTTATTTGCTTTTAATGTCTCAAGTCAGTTTCTAATATTATTCCACATTTGATTCCTCTGCCACACAGATTGAACTCGACGAGAACATGAAGTTTGACGAAATGATCCTGGAGGCCGCCAAGGGAATAATGGCAGCTTCTGCTGCTTTGGTGCGTGCTGCGAACGCCGCTCAGCGCGAACTCATCGACACGGGCAAGGTTGCTCATCGTCCGCTGACGAGCTCCGTCGATGGTCAGTGGTCCGAGGGTCTCATCTCAGCCGCTCGCCTCGTGGCTGCCGCCACTCACAGCCTGGTCGAGGCTGCCCAAAACCTGGTACGCGGCGTGGGCACCGAGGAGATGCTGATCTCCACAGCCAAGCAAGTGGCCGCCTCTACGGCTCAATTGCTGATTGCCTGCAAGGTGAAGTCCAATCCCAACTCGGAGGCCGGACGCCGTTTGCAGGCCGCCGGCAATTCGGTTATCAAGTCTACTGACAACCTGGTGCACGCAGCCCAACAGGGCTTGGAGGCAGAGGAGGAGCACTCCCTCAGGATCAACACGTCGATGGTGGATGGCATGGCACAGGAGATAAACGCCAGATCCGCCGTGCTGCGTAAGGAGAAGGAGCTGGAGGAGGCGCGCCAGCGTCTGAAGCATGTGCGCCAGGCGAAGCGCTATGGGAAGAACGCCCAGGGATTCACAACAGACGAGAGCGACACGGAGTACCCATATGGAACGCTCAACAAGAGCCAAAACAATGTATGAGACACGTTTTTTAATGTTCCACTTTGTTATAATTTGTATTAGTTTTCAAACGCACCAGCAAAAGAAAATTGGCAATGAGATCGATGGCAAAATTGAGGCACCATTTTGTTTTGGAGTAGCCTAATTCTAATTTTGGTGTGGGTTTTAGCCAATCTAACACATAACCAGTCTAACCGGCAGTATCTCTTTTTCTCTCCTCTAACCCCTAACCCTAACAGACTTTGGGTCGCAGCGGGTACTACGGTTCCGGCGAAATGCCCAGTTCTCCGAACTACTCGTCCGGTGGCCAGCAGCAGAAGCACCACTACAACTACGCCAGTCCGCAGCCGCAGCACTTCCACCACCCCGGAGCTGTGTCTCCGCCGCCGTCCAACTATCCTCAGGACGACGCCAGTGGAGACTTCCCACCACCGCCACCACCGCTGTCTACGACCATTTCTAACATGCAAACCGCTACGTCGGGTCACAGTTTCCGCCCTAATCCCAAGCTAACAGCCAATGCCGTGCCCAGACCCTATCCGGGCAGTCCGGGCGGCAGCAATGGCCTAACCTCCGCACCCACCACGTCAGGCGGCCGGGGGCCGCAGCCCAGCACACCCACTAACCCCAACTACCAGCAAAGCTTTGAGTCGACCAGCATTAAAACGCTAAACTCATCTCCACCGGCGGTGCCAAAGAAGCCCACTGTCAACCGGAATCTGGAGGCGTGCGTGCAGGATCTGCATGACAAGACGTTTGGCCAGGGCGGAGTAGTGCAGCTCACTGGTGGAAATGGCTACCCTGGTCAAAATTACGAGGGATACACGTCCAGGTGGGTTTAAACCCTTGCCTATCTTTATGCATTTGCTAATTAATTAATTTATGAATAACAGATATGAGACGCGAAACTTTGACAAGTCAGCCAACAATACCACCACCAGCAGCAGTGAACTGGGCGTGGTCAAGCCCCTGGAGTCGAGTTTCTCGCAGATGACCCTTAACACCGATGGCGGCAAGATTAGCATTGTTGACCAGGGCTCGGAGCGACTCACATCCATGACCCAGCGTGTGATGGAACGCAAGTCCTTCACCACAACAACGGAATCCCGCTCTGAGACCAAGACGGAGAAGCATAGTTTTCGATTGGACTAAGCGCTCCAGTTGAAGCGATTCTAGTTGCTTAAGTAAATGTTCTAGCTTGGTGACGAGCATGTCGATGTTTGCCAAAAGTGCTTTTAACATTTACACACCCGTACACATACTAATAGAAATAATTTAATATTAATTGTAATTAGCCACTAGCGAAACTACATCTATATGCCTTTACCCATACCATATAATCCGCCTAATATTAACAATCTAATATCGCTATTCGACCTTCAATGTTTTCGTAAATCTGTGTTCTACGTGTTTATCTGCCATTTAATTGCCAATATATATCGATACAAGATGCGGGGGTATGCCATAACCAGATTGCAGTTTGCAGTCCAAACTTATTCAGGCAATCCTCTTAAAATTCAACGAAATTACAATTAACCCTTAATAAGCGTAACACTTACAAATTTGGTTCTTCACTTTGTTGTTATTTCGATGCAATTTATTACTGTGCACTAAACATTGAATATTATTTTCTAACGTAAGAAAACTCTTGTTTTTCATCGATACGCAGAACAGTCAATCTATGTTCTATAGTTACTTTTTATTTTTCTTTGTATATACGTACGTATGCGAGTCGTGTATGCAGTTGCATATTTAAATTGTGTATTTTTTGTAAATTAATAAAAAAAACAATATTTTAACAAGGTGGTAAATGTGTTTTGATTGTTGGAAGAACCTAAGTAATAAGGTAAAGCATGGTTGCTATAAGTTCTTTCTTCTTTTATTAAGGCATATATAAACATTGATAAAAGTATTGATTTTATAAATCGTCTTAAAAAAATAAATGCAACATTTAGTCTGTCAGGTAGTAGAGTTGATCCATATAATAGCCACTGTTGTCGTACCATAAATGCGTTTCTGGATAAGATTGGAAAAAGAGAGAATCCTTCTTCTACTTGTACTCCTGGTTCAGCTGGCGACCAATGAGCCAACGCCTGATCTCAGAGGTTCCCGCGCCAATCTCGTATAGCTTGGCATCTCGCAAGATACGGCCTGTTGGATTTTCGTTGATGTAGCCGTTGCCACCGAGGATCTGAATGGCATCCAGGGCCACTTGGGTGGCTTTCTCGGCAGTGTAGAGGATAACGCCAGCGCAATCCTTTGGACTACGATTGCCAGCATCGCTGGATTTCGCAACCGTGTAGAGATAGCTTCTGCAGGCACTCAGTGTGCTGTACATATCAGCCATTTTGCCTTGGATCAGCTGGAACTCTCCAATCAACTTGCTCATCTGCTTGCGCTGGTGAGCATAGTCGAAGGCCACGTCGCAGGCAGCCTGCATTAGACCCACTGGACCGGCGGCCAGCACTAGGCGTTCAAAGTCCAATCCGGACATTAGCACATAGACGCCCTTGTTCTCCTGGCCCAAAACATTTTTGACCGGCACCTTTAGATCCTGGAATACCAGCTCACAGGTACTGCTGCCTCGCATGCCCAGCTTGTCCAATTTTTGGGCCACACTAAATCCTTCCCAGGCAGTTTCCACTATAAAAGCGGTTATACCATGCTTGTCAGGAACTCCATTTTTCCCTGTCTTGGCATAGACCACCAGAGTATCCGCATCGGATCCGTTTGTGATCCAGAACTTTGATCCGTTCAGGACATAGTAGTCTCCTTTGCGCTCGGCACGCAGCTTCATGGATACTACATCAGATCCTGCTCCTGGTTCGGACATGGCCAGGCCTCCGATGTGCTCACCACTGCACAATTTGGGCAGATACTTCTCCTTCTGCTCGAGAGTGCCGTTCTTAGTTAGCTGATTGATGCACAGATTGGAGTGGGCTCCGTACGACAGGGCCACGCCACCAGCCGCACTGGAAAACAGGGATTTCCAAGATTTGCCATAAGATAATGATGTCTGTATATTTTACCGCGAGAACTCCTCCATGATGATGCAGTGATCTAGATAGCTGCCCCCAGTGCCTCCAAAGTCTGGCTCTGCTGTGATGCCCAGAAAACCAAGATCGCCCAGTTTCTTCCAGAAAGGCCGCATGTCCCTATGAAATAAAGAACATGTAAAATACATGTTAAAATAAATTTATCTATTTTGTATATCCTACTTGAAGTTATCCAGTTTATCTATCTCCTTGGCCAGAGGAGCCAGTTCCTTCTGGAAGAAGTTGAATGCAACTTCCCGCAACTTTTGCTGATCTTCGTCAAGACCAAACATGGCATCGTTCACGGGATAATGGGAGAGTGTCCGGGTCCAGGATAAAGGGCGATCGCCACGTTGCAGCAAGGACCTGCATGACTTGGCCACAAACTTCAGAGCCATGTTGATGTTCGTTTTTGGGGGACAATATGCTATTATCTAACTCTGATCAGCTGTTGTCACTCACACCCCGAATTCAACGAGTAGCATTCAAACAAGAGGCCCGTATGGCAACGCTGGCGAGATCAGCGAGTCAAATCGACTAATAAATAAAACCGTTACGATCATTATAAATATTAATCAAGGAAATTTTGATTGTTTTTTAAAAAAACTGGTATATATGCTTTAACAGATTGGCTAACATTTTTTTTAGTACGACGTTTGAGTGTTCGATTTCAATTCAATTTTATGATTGGATGTAAAAAAAAAGTTTACGCAAATTGTCTATAACCGATGCATTTTATTTAATTTGAATAATTAACAAATAATTACTATTAAATTTAATGAATACATTTATAACTTTAAAACAGCAAAACATTGGTTTTACTAGCCGCTCAATTTGAACATTAAATTCAAATCCGCCCGCCAACGGATGGTAAACCGCCTTTGTCTGCGCATGTTCCTTCAATGGCCATTAGAAGCAACCAAACAGTGATTACGAAAAGTAGTCTCCCCTCGTAAAGCAGGTCATCAAAATAGCTCCTAGACCTGCATATCAAAGGATACCCCTGCAGGGGGTAATCACAATCGAGGTGCTGGGCCAACAGTGCGCATGTTTCACCAACGGCAGATGGACGGGCTACCGCTGCCGATGCCGGCAACAATAGCAATAACTACAACAACAACAACAGCAGAAGCACGGACAGTGCAGGCGCAGGGATAAACATAAACAGAGCCACCAGTCAGCCAGGAGCTTCGGTTTCGGCCTTAATGGAATTGAAAAGGCGGCGGCCACCATCCAATCACCAGTGCCCCGCAGTCGGTGTCCATCGCGGTGTGTTGTCCTGCTGGCGGATATATCGGATTCCGAACCGGATGCGGATACGGAAGTGTGTTGCCCAGCGGAAGGCTAAAAAGGATAATTAATTGAAGGGACTCGGGACAAAAAAAGGCAGAGCCAAGTGTGCAGTGGTGTTTCTGTGTCTATTTCGGTGTTCAAAGGGGCAGGTGAAATCCAAATAATTGAACAATTCGGCAGGCAAATCGATAAATGTCCTCATAAATAAGTCGCTCCAGGCAGGTGGAGAAGCTCACGTGTGTGCGTTTGATTAATGGCCTGTAACCGGGTGAATGTTGCCAAGGATCCCAGTCAGCTCCAGCTCCTCCTCCTCCACCTCGTCCATATCCTGTCAATCAGCTATGACTTCGACTCAATGAGGACGCAGTTTGTATTGTAGGTTTCCTTGGTCCCAGATATGGATCTGAATCTGTTATTGCTGTTGTGTCAAGCACGCTTTTCCATGTTTAGCTTTAATCAAGGACTTTTACACTCATCCCACCCATTGCACCTGCACTCGCCTAAAGGTCAACTGTGCAGACGTCCTGCTTTTTGGCCAAATTGCCATGGCTAATGCCATTTTAATGACTTGCTCTTTGCCTGATTAATCAGGGGAAGTCTTGAACTCCGGCCATACCACCACTTTTTATGTAATCAACTAAGGCATTCCCCTTTGCAACACCGTACTCTTTCCCAGCAATTAAATGCCGACCGGGTCTATAAACAGATCTCACTGTCAGTGTCTGTTGCAGCATTCTTGGGATGTTTGTTTGGGCGCACTTAATGCCAAGTGGAATGAACTTGATGAGCAGCAGTTGCCACTTTCAGTGGCCCACAAAGGCATCTCCTCCGATGGCTGGTAGTGCGGCAATTGAACCCGACTGCGATGTTGGATGTTGCGATGTTGGACTGCTGGGGGTTGCGTCCTCATAAACATGGCTGAAATACAAAACATGCAATCTGCCGACTCAACAACTTGAACTTGTCGCTTCCACTGCACAAAACTTTTGAACTTTCTGTTTTACAATCGTCATCACACTTTTATGCACCGCAGATAAAAGGGACCGTAAGCTTTTAGTTTTATTAGTGGAATTATGATGGGATGGGTTTATAGGGGGAGTTTGTCATCAGTTACAGTCTGAGTTCGGTCAAAATTGGATGATGACTTTGCTCCATTAAACCAAAGCTGTTGGTACTAAAGGCAATAAAAAATATTTATTTTTAATTTTTTTTTAGTTATATAAACGCTTATCAGGGAACAAAGTAAAACAGTTATATAAACATTAAGCAATCAATATATCTATACTTTTTGGACCCATTAAAAAATAGCTAAAGCTTCCCTAAGTGTTTAATAAAATTGTATTATGGAATTCCATGGAATTTCCAACAGCTTTGCCTAAAAATCTATTAGACTTGAATGATCTGACACATCTGCCAATCAAAACTCCCTGGCCTAATGGGTAGCCCCATAAGCAATCCCTTCCATTTTCAATTAGCATTTCCCATCAATCCGGCTGGCAATCAACCAACTCGATATGGCAGAGGCTATATCTCTAAAAATACGATCGCCAAGCGAAATAGTGTGTGATAAGCAAGTGCAGTTGGTGTGTGCAGTCGGTGGATAAATGCCGGAAAACCGGAGAGCTGCTCCGTAAAAATACATTTTTCGGCCAGAGAACACGGAATAAATGCTCGCGCCGTGTGACGTGACCAGTGACAAAAAACACGGTCCAAAAGTGAAACCTACTGAAAAGCTTTCCGAGATGGCATACTGCTCGCAGGTTTAGTCGGCATTAGTCGCGCGCGGTACGGCACGGCAAACGATCCACGATCGACGACAAACTCGACACTAAAAATTAACCACAACGACGACGCATGGACGGATCAGCGGACTCCGTGCGCGATTTTCATTCACTTTTCACCCAACTTCTCGCTCAGTTCTCGAATGCTACATACATATAACATATAGATATTACTAACCCGACCAGTAATAAACGAGCCGACCGGCCAGCGGTTTTCCAACTGCCCAGCGGTTCGGCAGTTCACCAGTTCAGCGGCGGCAGTTAGAAGGAAAACTCATCACTATCCGTACTAATCGTTAAAATAAACTTTGCTGTCACGTAATGCCCATTCAATTTAATTTCATAAATAATTTTTTGGAATACAATCGGACTGGGGAAAAGTGTTGTCGCCATTTCTCGTGATTATTTGGCAAGTAAGGAATATGAAAAGTGGCCGAGTGTGTGTTAAATTAAATCACCGCATTATAAATAACTTGGGAAAATTTTAAATCTAAAATATATTCTCGCCAGATAGATATATACATGTGCGAGAGTATCTGCGGACGCGCCAAGTAATCGAAGCGACAAAAAATACGCAAAGTTCGAAAAAACGCGACAAAGTGTGTGGTACTGTGTGTGTTTGGCAAATGTCACTTGTGTGTGCGTCACTGAAGATAAACCACGAGCACATAAAAACACACACACTCGGTCCATCTGACATAAAAGAATATATTATTCTATTTACGCGCGTGTCTTGTAGCCAACAAGTAAATCTCAGCCAGCGGCAGCCATAAAATGGAGTCCAAACGCTCGAAAAAAGGACGCAAATCTCGGCCAGCTCAGGATGAGAATCCTCAACAGCAACACCAGCAGCAGCAGCAGCATCATCATCCCTGGGACGAAGGTAGGGCCAACAAGTCCAAATGGATGCATCCCCACATCGCAATGCCCCACAAATTAGCCGCGCATTACGCATACGCCGCGTGGGCGCTGTAATGACAGTCGTTGACGAATATAGCACAAGTTGTATTCTGTGGGGCTGGGTGGACTACATACACATATGTGCTGGGGACTAAGAACATTACTTATGATTGCCTGCCAAGTTGAACGGCGGCCAAAAACCATGACAAGTTCTCTGTTTTGGCGCCGCAGCGGGTAAGCGGTTCCCCAATTATACCCTCGTATGCACAAGCCGACTCCAAAGTTCCCAGACCCAGGCCCAGTTCAACGGAAATCGGCAATCAAATGCAATGGCCCACTAATATCACACAATTGTCTGGCCATTGGGGTAGTACTAAAGCACTACGTAGATCAATTTAATATGCAGAACGCCGCCAAATCGGTGAACTTGGGGGTTACCATTTTAATGGTTAATTGTGTCAAACTAGATTAGTTTACATTGCAATTAGAACGTTTAAAATAATTGAATTTGTATTACCTAACGGAATTGCATTACAAAATTAGTTTTCAGACACCTTGAAAATGTTTACATTCCTTTTAATATGAAACTATTTAAAATAAAGTAACTTTATTAAGGTGTATTTTATTTAGCTTTATAGTAAGCCAGTAATTCTTCTTTAAAATAAAGAGTTTTGACGATATAATTAGTATTATTAATTCAAGGAACTTTTCTTTTATTTTTCTAAAACCAACAAAAAGTTTGTCCCTGATTTATACAAAAACTATTTCAGTGATTAACAAAAAAACATAATTTGAAAAAGCTTTTGGAACTTTGAATAGTTTTTCTATTTCAACCTACAAAAATGTTATTTAAGTTTCATTCTTAGCCATTCTTGACCTTCGCAAGAGCATATGACATTCTGCATTGGAAAATCGAAATTTTCCCACAAGTTAACTTATGGATTTCGGAATCTTGTGAACTGCCTGGCATTCAGATAAACAGACCAGACAAACCGAGACCCATCAACTGGCTCCGAGTTAGCGGCATCTTCTATTTGCTAAGCACAATGGGCGTGGATCTGGCTATATGAATTGCCAAACCGGTTATACGCCACCCCATCCAACTTGTCTGGGGTTTTTGTGGAGTACCGCTAGCACCGTTGCATCGATCATGATTAAAATTAGCCGGAGAACGAACGTGATCTACGGCCACTTTTCCGCTATTCAAATCGCTTTTATGACTGATGAAAGTGAAAAACAAGCGCAACCAAATTTCATGCTTATTTCCAAATCCAAAACAATAAAAGCCAAACAAAAAACGGCTCGCATTCCCGTTCCCAGACGGCCTATCAAAAGAGCAGGGTTCTTATCTCCGGGGAACTGGAAGATTGCAGTGCTCTGATTGCCACTTGATGGCAATTTGTTATAGGCAATTAAAACAGCAAAGAGGCCAAGTTCAAGTTTCCTGCAGCGAAGACTGCACACTGGGATCAGAGCACGTAGACCGTTC